AAATTAATAATATATGACAAAGGTCAATAAACTGTTCAAAGTTTTCTTTTTGTTTTTTTTTTCATGTATCACAGTATGCATAATAAACTTTTTTCAATTTAAAAAGTGATTCCCATTCTGATGATTTATTAAACATGTATGGAGATTATCCATTATATTGAAAAAAAAAGAATTGATTGGCTTGAAGAAGTCTGGATATATTTATAGACCAGTGTGAAGCTATGGTGATGATTCTAAAAATACAAATGTCATCATCATTGAAATTATCACGTTTGAAATAAATCAGATGGCCTAGTTTAATTCCTTGCTATTTTGTAACTGAATCTGCTGAATTTATAATAAACCAACAAATGGTGTTAATTTATTACACCATACACTGAAAAACCACATTGTTTTTGTATTTGTTTCTGCTAAGGAAAATATGTTGAAATATACACATTTATTATTCTAACATTCCTTTAACCTAGATCTTTAATTTGTTTGAAACGTTGTCTTGATGAATTAAATGAAAAATTATAAAATGTCAACAGAAATAAAAACCTGTTTGTATTTGATCAAATGCTTTATTTCGAGACTTAAACATTTCACACTATATAGGATGTAAAACACACCCACCCCGAAAAAAGGTATTTTGATCAAAGAGATACAAAACTTGCTTCTTTATCAATTTGCTTGATTATCAATTTATCAATGACTGCATTTAACAAAATCTATTTTATTAAAGTACGTACTCCTTAACTAACTTTTTTTTCATAAAAAATAGGACTCATTCGTCATATTTATGACGTCAGGTGTCGCTGGTGTACTAGAGGTGGTTACGTAAACGCTTTAATCACCGCGGCGCTTGTAACAATGTAAACAAATGGACGTGTCCTCGAACTTGGAGCCAAACGGAGGGGCTGAATCGATCTTTAATCGAGCTGTCACAACCGGGAGAAAGGTTTATCCGAATCTTGGGTAATTATTGTTTGTAAATAATATACATTTATGGAAACTTTCTACGAATTATCGAGTGTAACATGCCTATATGACGAAGATAGTACAACGACAAAGCAGTGAGTTTACAATCGACGTTTTTGTAGGTTGTCAGATGTATTATCATCTTTACCACTTACACAAACACTAGATTCAAATGGAATTAGTATATGATACGAATACTCATGGCGATATTTTGGTTTTTTTTTTTTGTTTTTTGTTTTTTTTTTTACATGACAATCATTGCACAGCTAGGTTATGTAGATCTACACTGGTTACATACTGTTAAAAGAGCAACGTCCCAAATGATCATCAGGGTAATTAAGTGCAACGTAATATTCATTGCAAGGCAAATACAAACTAAACATTCATTTTATTTTAGTTCACTTAAAAAATTAATGATAATAAACAAAACTAAAACAATCACAAACATCATATTTCAACCCTCACCAAAAGACTCTCCAGATCCTACATAGAGATACATTAAATGACCATTCATTGATATTGGATAAATATAATTGATTTCCAATCAGCCTCATTTGTTTGTTTTTTTTAAATTAAAAAAAAAATTGAGACTGGTACGCTTTGATGTAAGTCGCCCACATTTCGCAGTGGTAAGAGTGTCTGCCTTGTCTACAGTCGCCAAAGCTAAGAGCTGAACCTAATGTCGCAGGTTCAAATCCACTGCATTACGTGTCCTACAGATGAGACCGTCTAAACCGTGGTCCTGTTTTGCAGTAAGTGTTCGCACTAAAAAGATCCATCCCTGCTCAATGGCCCAGAGTGCCGAGAATAGGTATATTTGCAGTCTGCCATCAGCAAATGATGGTGTCTCCGTATGAGTAAAAAATTCTTAAGAGGGAAATTAGACAACAAACAAACATAGATTTGATATGTGCCCTTGTACTATATAGTGCATATGAATAATTGTGAAATTTATTTGTTCTGTACATATTTTTTTCATAGTCAGTAGCTACTTGTATACTTAGAGCATTACATCTTTGTTATAATAAAGGTAAAAATGAGTACAAATATTTTAAAGTTATCATTTGCTAGGTCCATTTTGTACAGTACTGGTATTTGTGTTTCTATAATGTGACCCTCGACAACTTAGTTTACATTTACAATTTCATTAAGTCGGAAAGATATACTCAGTAATTAAATAAAACCTGCTGCATGTAAAAATAAATAAAAGGAATATATACATGTAGTAGCTGTTATTGTACAACTAAATACAAAAAACATAATTAATTTTACAGTCCTCTGAAAAAAAGAATTTATTATCAGGACTATGGATTGACCTCACTTAAAGGCTGACTGTATATTTGTTCCTAAATAAAAGCCTATACTGAGTAAATTGGTTATTTTTCAGTTATTTAAGAATATATTTTTTTCATTTCATTTTATTTAGGAGATCAGCAGGTAAAATAAGAAGTCAAAGCTTACAGGGAGCTTTGTTATGGCTGGATGGTACATGTTACATAAAAATTCTATTTTCCCCCATCTAATTCATGAAATGGCATCCATCCTATTGTCAGTGCTGTCAGGGAAAAAGATGAACTGGTATGTAATTGCATTTGTATTTTTTTTAATAATAGAAAGTACTCATAAATTACACCTAAGCTAGGCCATCCTTAAAAAATTGTTTGTTTGGAATTGCCACCTGAAGGGTTTCAGACACAGGAGGGAGGGAGGGAAATTACTTTTTTTTTAATTGAAAACCTAATTTTACATAGATCAGACACTATATATCAGTGTTTTGTATGGTGCATGTGATACATGTAATGGGCAAAAAAAAAATTGATTAAATATAAAAAAATCTTCCTACTTTTGGTCAATAAAATTTTTTCAGGAGGGGGCATTTCAATGAGACGGGAGGCAATTCCAAACAAACTATAATTTTATTTTGGCCTAAGCAATGCTTCAATGCTTCCAATTTTAATTCTTAAAAAAAAAATGCATTTCCTTTTATTATCACTAGGTGTATTACAACCTAAGACAAAGTGTTGAGATGTTTGGCAGTCCTATAAATTCACAGAGAAAATGTTCTGCTGGAAATATGGGGCAACATTCAGCCTGTACACACATAGACTAGGTATGCTCATGCTTGGAAAATTCTCTAATAGAATACCGGTACAATAATCTTGTATGCAGCATCTTCAGGCTTTTCACAAACTTACAATTAAGGATTGATTAAGAATTGTATTTTAATTTGAGAAGTAGATCAATTTTATTTAAAAAATTAAAAATATTTAAAGACAGTTTAATTTACCAAAAAACAAGTGCAGTCATGATAATGCTAATTACTCTATACTAATTGCTACTCATTCTTATTTGAAGGGATTCCACCAAAAACTGAAAGAGAAAAGAAGCTGATGTACTCAAACAATCCCTGGCAAGAGAAATTAATTTGTGAAATGAAAGAATGCACAGACATAACATTTTAATATTTGTTTGTACAAAAATTGACATTGAAAGGAATTTACTGTATGTGTACTTAAAATAGCGAGCTTCATATTTTAGTTGTTTTTGAGCAGACGAGGATGTGCTAATTCATAAATACCACTAAAAATTCATTTATAAATAGAATATACGACACAAATATTTGTAGCATTAATTCAAGATTATGCCAACAACCATATCCATTGATTGTGCTAAATTTTGAAAACACCAAGTTATGTACATGTACAGTATTTTTCCAAAGCTTGAACTTTTTTCTGTTAACGATTTTGCTTATTTTATTCATGGCTGTAAATAAATAAAACAAAAAAGATTGTATTAAATATTTATACATATTTATTCCTTTCGTACTTAAATTTGAGCATGCAAGTACAATATTCTTGGAAATCAATGCTTGTGGATTTGACGAGTCTCTCTTGCCCATGGATTTTGTTAACATATTGATTGAATCTACATTATCAATGAGTTAAAATCCACAAAATTACATACCCATGAACAATTTTTCTTGTCCATGAACATTGAACCCCACAAATTAACTTGATTAAAAAGATTCCACAGAATTCATAATACATGTACAATCATTTTTAATTCTTTTTCAAAGCAAGCAAAAAGATTTTTTTTAATTTTTCTAAAAATTGAATGTGTCAAAAATTCTTAAAACTATATACTTGTGTTCTAAAATTTAAAAAGTAATAGTTGAACATCTTCTAAGCACATCTCACGTAATAGCCTAATCATGCTAATAGCTTCTACAATATGTACCAATATGAGAAAGAATTATTCGGACAGAGTCTTCAACAGCTTAAATGCTTGCATTGAATTTTTCATATCTTTGTTAAAGAATATGGCTGATCTTAAAGAAACATCCGAGTGACTGCTAGTTATCACTGGGGATACTGGTCTAAACTCCATGATGCACACTTTAGTTCACAACTCTTGAGGAACAGCTCAGTCTTTGTACATACTTCGTGTCTTGACTGCAGCCACGGAGCTGTTGGACTTGTATTGCTGGAGTTTTAAAGTCCAAAACTGGATGTCAAGTTTACTGCATCCTTTTTTAGTCTTGTCTCCTGTAAACAAGGAACTGTGCAAATATTATTTTTGTTTTGTTATTGTATTGAGTTAAAGTAGAATATTATATAATCAATATTTATCCAGGGAAAACCAAAGACCCTACTCGTACTAATCAAGCGGGGAAAAATATCTCATTATTTCTGGTGTTGAAATTTCAAATATATAATAAAATTAAACATTGAACTAAAATCATAAATTGCAGTACTTATTCCATTTGCTAACAAATCAAGTTAATTGTATGGGGACATAAACACATCATACACTCTATTTGTACATTTTTAAAAGAAAACTGCCACTGTACATTAAATTAATCAGAATTAATCCTATTACATTTACCAGTGCTGTGTCTGTCTGTTTAACAACAAAATCACAAAGCAACAAAAGCTTTAGACATTTTAGTTAAATTTCAAACTTTTGAAATAATATTTTAAATAATATTAATTGCCATGTGTCAAGCTATTAAGACACTATTAATATAAATAGTTCAAATGTCCTTTGATGAAAAAAAAAATAAAAAGGGAGTTCACTTTTTTCCATTTAAGAAAAAAGTTAAAAAGTCACAAAGTCAATATGTTTTATACTATATATAGTAACTCATTTTTATAGTTAAATCTATACGATTTAATGACATATACTTCGTAAAATACTAATTAAAATTAATCAAAATCAATATTTTACCAAAAGTCTAATCCTTAATATCGCCGACTCCAAAATTCTGGTGACAAGCGACATCGTGTTTACCAAGTCAGCTGATCATCTTCATGACCGATTTAGCGTCACTTTTCGTCTCAAAGAAATGTCTGGATCTGAAAATAATGAGTGTCCGCATCCTCTACAACATCCTGGCACACCACAGAGGGTTGACATTCTTTACAAATTAATTAATTTGGAGGTATACGTCCAGGAGAAACCACAGTGTCTCGCCACGCTACCATTTGTTTACACTCAGTCAAGCGCTTGACAAATTCAAACGTTTGCGTAACCACCTCTAAAACCGCAGCGCCACCCGACGGTTAATGACGTGAATGGATACTATTGCTAAACAGTTTTTTTTTTTATGAAAAAAGCTTTTCAGTAAAAGACAAGCAAAACACTAACCGAAGCTGGGGCATTTGCCAATTTTTTTGGCTAGTTTTGATTCATTGAGTAAAATGAAATATTTAGCTAAAACTCATAAATTATTTAGTTAAAAAGTATGTTATGTGTTATTTTTTTTTTCTAGGTTCCTTCGAAGGTTCATGTTAAACAGTCTATTTACATTTAATGCTACTCCTTAGTGTACATATGTTAGCAAAAATTAATGACTTATTTCTGAAATATTTCTCAACTAATATTTGGAATCCTGGAGATTGTGTAGTGATGTATAGAGAGCATCAATCTTGGAGATGGTGTAGTGATGTATAGAGAGCATCAATCCTGGAGATGGTGTAGTGAGGTTTAGAGAGCGTCAATCGATTCGATCTTCCAATGCGATCGTTATAAAACAGTTGAGGAGAAGACAAAGTAGAACAATATCTAACTTATTGAAAGTATTTACCTCAATTAAAGATACAAAACTTGAAGTTGAAAGATCTTTTTGTTAAATAATGGAAAAGTCTTAAGGTAGGTATTGACGTTCAAAATCTTCTCTAAACCTTTTGAATCTAATACCTTAGATAACTCATAAAATAACTAAAAAGCCCATAAAAGATTTAAATGCTGATTTTCATACAGCATCTTTAAGGGTACAAGTCTTTCAAAATACAGCAGTCAAAATTTAACATACACAAGTATTTATCACTCATTAAACTTACATTTATAAAAAAAAAACAATATTAGTTTAAGAATATTAACAAATTGATGTTAAATTCCCGCATGCCTTTCAAACAAAAAAAAGCCAGAAACCTTAATTTTGAATAATTCTAAAAATTTAGGTTTCTGTACACGCCATTTTTATTTTGAAATAATTTAAAAATATATGCAAGGTAAAAATAACTTATTTTATCAATGCTATCATGGCTTATTGCATGCATTCAACAAAACAGTCTAATGAGCATGTATAATTTGAGGATATCAAATATCACAATGATCATTATTTGCTGTGATAAAAGTAAAATATGAACTAATGCTAGTAAGTAATAGCACAATATCACAAAGAAGTCAGTAGCATGTAAACAGAAGATGCTTACTTCTCTTAGTAACTTTATTCCACGAGGAGTCAGTATATGTATCTAGACAGAGGATTCTTACTTCCCCAGGTAAACTGATATCACAAGGAGTCAGTATCTAGATAGAAGATTCTTACTTCTCCTGATAACCTGATACCACAAGGATTCAGTATCGTGACAAAGGATTCTTACTTCTCCTAGTAACCTTATACCACACGGAGTCAGTATCTAAACAGAAGATTCTTACTTCTCCAAGTAACCTGATATCACAAGGAATCAGTATGTAGACAGATGATTCTTACTTCTCCTAGTAACCTGATATCACAAGGAGTCAGTATCTTGACAGAGGATTCTTACTTCCCCTAATAACCTGATATCACAAGGAGTCAGTATCTAGACAGAGGATTCTTACTTCTCCTAGTAATTTATACAACAAGAAGTCAGTATCTAGACAGAGGATTTTTACTTCTAGTAACCTGATACGACATGGAGTCAGTATCTAGAAAGAGGATTCTTACTTCTCCTAGTAATCTGACATCACAAGATGGTAGTATCAAGACAGAGAATTTTACTTCTCCTAGTAACCTGATATCACAGGGAGTCAGTATCTATACAGAGGATTCTTACTTCTTCTAGTAACCTGATATCACAAGGAATCAGTTTCTAAACAGAGGATTCTTACTTCTCCTAGTAACCTGATACCACAAGAAGTTAGTATCTAGACAGAGTATTATTACATCTCCTAGCAATCTGATACTACAAGGAGTCAATATCTAGACAAGGGATTCTTACATCTTCTAATAACCTGATATCACAAGGAGTCAGTTTTTAAACAGAGCTTTCTTACTTCTCCTAGTAACGTGATACCACAAGGAGTCAGTATCTATACAGAGGATTCTTACTTCTCCTAGTAACCTGATATCACAATGAGTCAGTATCTAGACAATGAATTCTTTCTTATCCCCGATATTGAAGAAATAGCAATTAGCAGAAATCAAATGGAATTAATTATGCATTGAAACGAAAACTACTTAATAATTTTGTACAATTAAGTTTTTTTCTCTTTTTTTATGATTAAATGGTAGTCAATTAATGAATAAATGATGGTGATGATAATGATGTTGATGATGATTTTGATTTTGAAGGTTTATCAACAACCTCCTTTATAGTTGCCATTGTTTGAAGTAAATGTAAGCATTATGTACTTTGGGTATTAAAACATTGTGATGGTTTTGTCTTATATTTTATTTAGAGTTATTTCCCTTTGCCCGTCTGTGTAGAGTATCAGTGTGTCGGGACTGTAGAGTCTGGGCAGTGAAGTAGTCGTTATTTTACTCATATATAGATCAGACGTACTTTTGGGGACAAAATTAGATTAATGGTAAATATCAATTTTCACACTTTTAATATGATAATTTTTCATACGTAATTTGTATTACAACCTGTTAATTATTACAGAATACAATATTTAAAAAAAAAAACAGTAAGTCTCGTTATCCTTTGAACTCAGATTTCATAGTAAATACGGGAGTAACCCAAGACGGTCCCATAACCTAAATCTTTTGGGCTAGTTCCGAGGATGATTGAGTTATTGATCAATATTTTATAGCCGTTTTTTTTTCTTTGTAAACAATGTCCTCTGGGGTGGGATTCAGTTTCTTTTGAAATTTTTCTTACCTAGTTGCATGCGTATACAATGTAAATTGGACGAGAACCCCTCTAAGTGGGGATGTTTCCAGGATTCTGAGGAATTTGCACACGTTTCCAATGTCAATAACATGATACTTCTAGATCTGCCCTTTGTTACTTACATGCTTGTGATTCAACATACGACACGCTCCATACGAGGTTTCTCCGAATCGAACGGTTGATCATGGAATTAAATCAGACTTGTTTGAGCAAGAAACGATTGATAATCTTAGTTATCTTCACAGATTGTCAAAACGCACTGCACATAAGTAAAAAACACTCGTTTTTCTCCGGTTAACAAACAGAATGTAGATTTCTCCTATCACTTGACCTACAATACACAAGTCACGACGAAATGAAAGTTTGGAAAACTATTCAGATATAAAATTTTTCGATTTGCAGCAAATCGATTTTAACAACAAAGTTTTGCTGGGTTTTCACCACCAGAAATTAAAAGTATGAGCCTAGAATTTGCTTTTTACTGGGGTGGTGAAATGAAATTAGATTTTTTACTTTTATTTTATTGAACATTCTGGAAGAATCGATAAGACGCTTGGTCAGCCGACAACACGCCCGACGTGTGCACCTTGTCATGATTGGGAAATAACGGAAAAATCCCTCATCAATTCATTGTATTAATGATGGACTACCAATCAGTATGAAAAACTATGCATTTGTCTCAATGATTAAATGTATTTGCTGACAAGGTCTTTTTATCTACAGTAGAATTTACGAAAAGATGACTTTAATCTAGGCTATTCATATTCTTGTTTCATCAACATGTTTGTCAATAATTTTCTTCGTTTTAGAAATTGTTCATACGTAGAGCATGCTCTTGCATACTGAATCGCTGAAATATATACACTCCGTATGCAGTTGATGAAAGTATATTGCTGCATAATTATGGGTAGTTGACAATAGAAAATTCAAGTGATATCATACTCTTTTTTACAGACATTCTTTAGAGTACCAGCAGTAATGAACTTGATCTTGGACTTTAACCTACTTTATAATATAAACCGTGACCCTAACTCCTAAATGGATAGTCCTACACGATTACCAATTTACCGGTTGCTTCTCTGGAATTCCAATATTTTCATTCTTTTACTTGGGCATCAGACTTTGACCTTCTTTTGAAAAAAAATGCAATATTTTCTGAATAGCTGATTCTGTGACTTTTAAAATTTTCCTGTGTTTTCTTTGTGAAATTATTTTACCTTGTTCATTTTGACCCATATTTGAAAATCTCTTTTTTCATAGTTATTTAACAGTTGCAGCTTTTATGATTTTTAATTTTCGAAGGTGAACCCATTCCAAGGAATATTTCTTTTGTTACCAAAAATAATTATTTCTTGACCTTGGTGTTTTACCTGTAAATGACAACATTCGTCACAAGCTGCATGACGAGAGCATCTTTTTCACAAACCATCTTGAATTTTATCATTAAACTTTTCATATTTATTTAACTGCAAAATCCAAGCTGTAGTCTATAAAATATTTTGATATCTGTAGCAGAGCCTATGTATCGCAAAATAGATCATATCTTGTATTAACACATGTGTCGATGTTTAATTGGTATATTACTACATTGATTCATTTTTTTCCAAGAAAAAGTCTAATATTTGCAACTATGTTTAAAGACAAATTGATTAAGGCTAGCTCGCGTAATAAAAGATTTAATTCAAATACAGTTGCAGTTAAAAATGTTCATCTTTCAGAAAATAATAAAGAAATGCTTATCATTTTTCGTTTTCTAACTCCTTGTATTGCTTTGCAAATTTAAATCATTTTTAAATGCTTCAATTATTGCTTACTTAAATAATCAATTTAAATAATTTAGAATCCTCTTTTAGCTTTTGATAAATCTCTTGCACGGCATTAAACGTCTGTGACGTCAGAATAAAACGCATATTAAACATTTTAACCTTTTGAACCCCTTTATTTTTTTTGTTATTTTTTTTTAATACTTAAATATCCATTACCTTAAAGTAATTTTGATCAATATGAATCTAATTGTCATATAGTATAAAATAGTTAAATAATTTCGAACAAAAATTCATTCTTAACCATTAGGATCTTATTGTTTTCAAAGGTAGATAAACAAGGGACCAATGGTACTTACAACATAGATGCAGAAGATCCGGCCTGTAGTAACTGGTTAAGATTCGTTAATTCTCCCGCCAAATATCAACAGGAAAATGTCGTTCCTATCACGTGCGAGGGCATCATCTTCTATATGACGTCACGTGACGTAGAGCCGGGTAAAGAGTTTCTGTTCTGGTATGGTGACGGATATGGGAGGTTTTTAAGCGTAAACCGCATACATCCGGGTAATTAAACAACACATTTTATGGTTAACTGTTTCCATCCGGGTATTTAAACAATCTACTTATCAGATAACTTGGCCATATACAATGTGGTCATTAAAACATTTTTATACCCGCGTGAAAAATGTTTCGGGGGTTTATAGTGTTTGTCGTATCTGTCCCTCTGTCTGTCTCTCTCTCTCTGTCTCTTTGTGTGTCTCTCTGTCTGTTTGTCCGTTTGTACGCAAAAACTTTAATAATGTCCATAGCTTTCGATTTAGTGGAGCTATGACTATTATATTTCACACGTGTATTCTTTGTGACAAGACCTTTCTTAGGGTACCACATCAATTGACATTTTTACCTTGACCTATGAGTTTGATCTAGTTTTACACAAAAATTCCAAACTTTTACATTTGTTATATCATTGGAACAGTGGATACCAAGATAGTTACAATTTACATATAATTCACATATATATTTTTTGTTAAGAAACTTTTCATTGGATACCAACAACTTTGACCTTGGAGATTTTAGTACTTGTTTAAGCTTGGCCATTACGTTTGAACGGTAAGGAAAGATCTTTTATTTGATATTAAAAACCTTGACCCTTTTACTTTGACCTTGGAGTTTGACATATTTTTACACAAAAAATCCAAACTTTTACTTTGGACCTAATTCTTAAACGATAGCTACTAGGAATATCATATTCTAAATATCAATTCTTTGTGACAAGAGCTTTCTATTGAAACTGCTAGTTTTGACATTTTGACTTTAGATATTTCCGTATTAACAAGAAAACTTTCACTTTGGCCATAAATTTTGAATTGTAAGGTTTAGGTCTTTCAAACTTCACTTATGTAGTCATTGTGAGAAAACCTTTCATTGGATATCAACACTTTTAACACCTTGACTTTGACCTTGGTTTTTGACCCACTATTAAAAACGCTTACCTTGGCCGTAACCAAGGGTGGTGCAAGGGTTTTCTTTGTCAGATGTTTATTTTATGGAAAGGCCATACTTTAGGTACCAAAGTATTTGATCTGCATTTGAGAAAGCTTAACCTTCGCCATGTTGCCATATGGGGGCATAAGTGTTTCACAAACACATCCTGTTATTGCATGCTGTTGTTTCTTAGGAGGTTCTAAGGCGTAAACCCCATAAACCTGGCTATATATGTAAACAACTAATTCATAACATGCTTTCATTTTTATCACACGCGTACATTAACAAAAAAAAATATTTTTGTCAAATTTCTCTAATTTGTATTTGATCAAAAAATTGATACTCTTTCATAAAAAATTATGTACATCATATTTAAGCACCTTTGATAAAAAGTTATATCGTTATTTTATTTATTTATTTATTTTTTTTTTCTGCTTTCAACAAATCTGATTTTAATGTCTAAATAAAAAAGCTGCACATTAAATCTGGAAAATATAATACTGCAGTGTATTAAAATTGTTTATTTCTAATTTCACCCATAAACATTATATTCCTTTGTTATTCAAAATGAAATAAAGTTCGGCTTAGGTTTGCTTATGCTCGTTAGAAAATATTCTATTGTTACACGTACCACGACGCAAAAAAGAGAATACTTTCCATTCAAATGTCTACTGAATTTGGATACAGCGGATCAAATTGTATAATTTTTAGAGCATTTAGGATGTAAAGCAACAACTCATATTGTATCGGTGGTGTTTCAAATTTGAGGATGATATATTTTTTTTCTGGTCCTTTTCTGCAGAAGTTGATCTCAACGGTTCATTTGCATTTCGTGCCAATGTTTTGACATTTGACGAAAATGAAAGACTCATTTTTGATAATTGGACACCAGTTATGTATCAGAACTGGAATCCTAACGATGAGGGCGAGACAGCAGTTGACCCAATCTTTGGCCTCCTTTTGACTTATCATAACGACGGCAGATGGCGCTGGGTGACTGAGAGAAACTATACGTACTATACAGGAGAAGACGGACTAAAAATCCCCTTTATTTGTGAGGATTCTCCATTTTATTTGGAGCATAAAGAGTGTTCTGTTACATAATGATTCATTCTCTCTAAATTAAAATAAACATTTGCTACCATTATTTTTTGTTATATAATTTCATTAAGCATGGTGTAGAAAGTTCTAAAACATTAAATGGAGTATTCTTAAGTTAATGTCGGATCGTATATTCGTCACCTCGGAAGTCATCTAGATTTATCCTCGGATCGTATATTCCTCTCCTTGGAAGAGATTTAGATTTATCTTCGGATTATATATTCGTCTCCTCGGAAGAGATCTAGGTTTATCCTCATGTTTTAAATAAACTATGAATAGCATGTACACAAAGACATACAGTGCATTATATTGTTTCGTTATTTTCCCAAGGAAATTGACTGGGATCTCCTCCCACCAAACAAACAAACAAACATTTTAGCACAAAGTGTTTTTTTTTAAATTTCTATCCGTAATCCAAAAAATAAGGGGCAAATATATTTTCCAAGGACGGTCGGTCCAGTTGTCCGTTTGTTTGTTTTTTTCCCTAAATTTATCTGTGAGTGGTTAATCAATTAGCCCTGACTACAGCCTTTAATTTGTTTGAGCTATGAATATCATATTTCACAGGTTTTTTTTCTTTATTTTTAAGGTCAATTTTGAATTTGGAATTTTAGCCTTGGTCATATGAATTATGGCTTTAAAGGTCAAGTATAATATTTTTGTGAAAATTCATAATTATTCATTATTGTCAGCCTCTGGAGCAATATCAATGAGAGTCTGAGGTTTGTTTAATTTTTTGTCACCAATTTCCATCACTTATAGTCGTTTAAACTAGGGATGGCAATCGATTGCAGAATTGCTAATCGGTTAACCGCAAAACGTTCCGACCGATTAACCGGTTAGTCGTATCAAGATATACATTTTGACATTTTCTTTTTATATACACAAAAATGACAAATGAAATTAAATGGCTGAAATCACAGTAAAGAGTATTGCATGTGTCGGATTAGACAGGTTTCAATGAAACAGGTTTAACAATAAATCAATCTACATCCTAGTTATCCGTCCAGTTATCTGCACTTATCAGTGTTTGGAAAAAAGAACGAAATATTTCTATTTTCAAATTTAATACAACACATATAAAGTACATCTTTTACTGGATGCATTCAGTATCGCTTTACAGTGCAGTTCAATCCCCCTTCTTTTACAGTTTGTTACTTGATGTTAAATGTTTAAAAAAAGAACTCAGCGATAAAAAATGATTTAAAATCGTCTCTTGAGGGTTTCCGTAATCCATGGATGATCTTTCGTCTGTTAAAAAAAATTATTAAAACTTCACAGATACATGTATAATAGCATATTTTTGTATTTAAAAAAAACAAAACATTTATAACTGAAATTTTCACAGTAATACAAAAAGAAAGATTTAATGATGTTTACCTAGCGACGCCTGATCATCATGAGGGTCTCTTTTATCTGTGTACTATCATTCACTGTAGGATACCATGGGTTGTACCAGGACTCTGGGGACCACTGACCGTTAAGGAAGGCATAGGTACACCAGTTAAACCACCAGCCCCCTCTACGGTAACTGTCAGCAGCACAGTGACCATCACTAAATCTGTCATTGTCTCTGTTTGGGGTACTAAAGTACATCCCAGACAGATCTAGGAAAGGATTACCTGTATCTAACATGGAGTCTCCTGTAAAATTAGATAAAAGGAATCACATAGATAATGAATTTATATATATTTTTAATCTAACTGTCAATAATAATACTAAGGCACATCTAAGATAGACAGCTTTATTACATTTTTTCATTGAATAAAAATGATATCCTGTCACAGTGTCAAAGGATATCAAAATGATATCCTGTCACAGTGTGACGAATATCAGAAGTGCGGGAAAACTCTCGATTTCCTTTCTCATAACGAAGATTGCTGTAAAAATAACTTCCTTGACCTTATATAAGATAGATGGAAATAAATAAACCATTCTGACAGCGAATAAAAGTGTCAAAATTATCAAAAATATGTTGTCAAATTCATGTTTACAGTGTTTTCACCTCTCTTAGCTATGACGTCTCAACCGCTGAATTATGACGTCCCGAGTCCATGAATGTATAACAAAAAAGACAGAGGCAAAGGAAAAGTCACAGATTTTTTTTTTAAATGTAATAAACAGAAAATTCAATGTTTTGTAGTTGAATATGGAATTTATTTCACTCGTGAGACAGGATTTTTTGATATTTTCACTCGTGCTTCGCACTCGTGAAAATATCAAAAATCCTGTCCCACTGGTGAAATAAATTCCATATTCAACTACAAAACATTGAATATCCTCTATTTATGTGATGGAAAGAGTGATAATATTTATTTAGTTTAGTCCTTGAATCCCCGGTGTCTATCATACTGGCACCTGCAGATTTAGAAAAACAATATATAACAGAGATAATATTTATTAATTTATGTCACATTAATTGTAATACTTAAGTACGTCTGAGATACGCAGTTTAAAGTGTTGTTTCTTGTAAAGAGAGATAAAAATAATACAAGACAAAAAACCTGCGAAATTCACGTAGCATCCTTTCTAGTGTAACAATAAACAACAGACGTGTTACACTTTTTAAGCATGGTATTATTGGGGGGGGGGGATAAAGGTCACTGGAAATTAAAGAAAGCATCACAAAATGAAATATTAGTATTTTTCCGAGACCGTGTCTCTAAACAGTTATAACATGCAATACTAAGTAAATCATTAAAAACGAGATAAAATATGGTGCATCTGTGAATGTTATAAGATGATAAATTTCCTATTGAATAAATGTGAATGTGAAACGCAATGAGGTCTTTTGAGTTTGACTTTTTAAGCTTTTTTAATTTAAATATTTATCCGATCAAAATTTTTTTATCATCAAATTTTTGCAAACCTTAAGACATTTTAGATTAATGACGCACTGTAAAGTTCCTACTCCGTAGTAGTAAAAAATGTGAATCATTGAAAATCAGACTAACATGCTCTGTAAACTTTTTCCGTATCAGTTAAAATGTGAATTATCAAAAATTATCAGGAAACCCAAGCTGAATAACAATGTTGAACAAATGTAATTATTGGATTTATTTGTTTGAAAAACTTAACATAATTGTCCTTGTACATAAATTGAATAATTAGAAATTTTATCTACTTGACAATAACAAATTCAATATCTGCTGAATATATGAATTGTATCTGCAAATGAAACTCTGAAATATTAAACATGTTTTTTTAGAGTGGAATAAAAAATGTATACAGAATATCAGAAAAAAAAAAACACATCTTTCTTTTTTTTTTCAAAAACTTTATAATCTTTCAATACAGAAAAGTATTATTATGATGCTATACGTTATTTGAACCTAATTTTAAGAATTTAACATAAATACACAGACCTAATGTTCCATTGGCAGGTCCTGCAAGAAAGAGTTGATATTTTCCTGCTTCGTCGGAGACAGAGAATCCGCCGTAAATTTCATACAGCGTTGTACCATTCTGGAGAGTGATGGATGCATAAAGGGATGAGGTTTTTTCGTTCGTTAATTTATGGATTACGTCATTCCCTGTATTAAGATATATTTGATTTCATCTGAAAAGTTCATCGAGTACAATTAATTCTTTTAAAATCTATATGAATCTACCGTAATGAAAAATCAAATTATTTTCCATAGCTGTAGACAATTTTGCTAAATTTGATCTCATTAGAACATGTCGCTAAATGATTTTCTTCTTTTCTGTTTTTTTATTATTTGAAATATCAATAAAACACGATATCTAAATATCATAGAACACACATTACCTGGTCTTAACTTTAGATCTTTATTACGCATTATGATTTTTTACTTGCCACAAGAATTTTTTTTATCATAAAACTTTGAAGGAATAAAAAGTTCTTATTTGAAACCGATTTACACTTACCAATCCAAACGTTCTGTTCTGGTGAACCAAAGCCATTCTTATAATCCGTCCAGTTCCTGTCAAAGGTCACGGATCCATCTAAGCGTTTCTGAATTGCCTTTGAAAATTAAGATGCGTAACAATTCAATTCATTGCTTCGAACAATCATGCGATCCATAGGTTATGATATAAACTACAATACAACCCTAATCCTTAAAACCACCAAAACAAGGTGTGTTATATTAAGTACTTTTAATTATAAAATAAAAAAACCCCTACCGTCCATCCACCGTCCATCGTGGTCATGTCGCAGTAGACACTTATTGAAATGGTTAATGTTCTGTAGGGGTATATGTCATACACCCCTGTGATGGTTTGTCCATTTTCTTGAAGATCCTTGCAATCTTTGGGCATGCTAGAAAAATCTAAAAAAAAAATACAAGAAACTTGATAAAAAAAAATCGTGTCCCCTCGAGAAGGACCTAGAAAAACCAAAGAAGCTAAAAGAATGAAATTTAAAAAAAAATTACATACCGTTATCCGAGTAGTATCTCCAACCAGCCTCATCAGACAACCCAGATGTCAGACTTTCCTTGTGGGTACGACATTTCCTCGTTTGTGAGTTAAAGCCAAAGAAGCTGCATTCCCTTTGACAGATTGTGGCGCACTCGATCAAGGAATGAACATTGTGTTCCCCGAAAAGTTCATAGTTTGATTTCTTATCATTAAATTCGAGTTTCGCTGTATATTTCTTAGATATAAAGGTAGCTTTAGATAAAGCTAAGAAGCCTACTATTAATGTGATAACCCACTGATTGTTCATTTTTTTTGTTGCGTCAAAATCTGCCGCGTTCTCGTGAATCTGTGAAATTCTGCTAAATGGTCTTTCAACAGCCAGATATATATATCGTACCATAATCAATGTCTGAAAAGCGATTGGCTAACTGTTACGTATTCTATATTTCACTATTGTTTAAGTATCGATTTTATCGAAGTTCATATGAATTGTCATGAATTTTCATAAACGTTTATTTTGAAATTGCAATTTAAAATTTAACAATGAAAGGTGTTCTGTTTTTAATTTAGTTAATGCCTGTTATGTTATGATGTTGTACAATGTTTTTGCGTTAGCTATATTTTAAATATGTAATTTTGATATATATATTCCTTCAACTCAAACTGAATGAAATTGGAAATCAACAATTTTCTAAAATTCAAAGTGAAAAATTATCTAACTCTAAGACATTATAAAGAATTTATTGATTTATTTCAACTTTGATACATTAGCCTCTAAATGTTAATGTATTACTATAAATCATCATTATTATATTTATTTTTGAGTCTTATAAAAGACGTACATTTGTAAGATACAAATATCAGAGAATTCTAAAAGGATACTTTTAAGCGTGTTAAAAACTTTAAAAAATGAAAAGTACTTATGATAGATGTTCAAAAAGAATCGTAATACGTTGTTAAAATGACAAAGGCGTCAAGACCTGAGGGAGGAGGCGGGGCTTAACCATTACATAGGCAGTGGTAATTTGGATTTACCTTTGTTGTTGATATGCCCCCCCCCCACACACACTTTCGATTTAACCCCCCCCCCCACTTTCAATTTGCTTCCGACGCCCATGAATGAAACCCAGATTGGTGAATTTCTTTAAGGAAAGGAAATAAGATAAGTTGTAAAACGTGTTTCCGAATCCTGTTTGTATTATCTACTGTGTATACATGATGTCTAATTTCAATGACATAAAGTTAAACTAAAATGGTGAACAGCTAATGTTGCACATGAATCGCACACTTATCATTTTAACTTAAAAAGGCAAGTGGTCCTTGGGCTTGTTGAAATAATGCTTAATCTGCACATGGAGACAAAGAAACAATTCGGTTGTAATGTTAAAGCCTTCAGTTAACAAGTCGGGTGTAATGTTCTTTAACCAGATGATGAAAATAAAGATTAAGCGTCATGCTATCTTTTTTATGAAACTCTAACATCACATATTTTCGAGGTTTGAGAAAACCATATTCGTTTATGAGGACTTGATTTCATATTTAAAGAATTGTTTAATAGTAATTTAGTTGGAAAAATGATATTATGATAGACATATATTCGTGGGTCTTTCATTTTATACCTTAAGAACCACGAAAATAAATACCTCGCAGAAAATAATGAATTCACAGTTGTTCACTAGGTAAGAAAGACGTAATGAAAATATGTACACGTGTAATTTTAAAAGCAGTTACAGCATAAAGCTGGCAGAAATGTTGCCTAAGTAAAAAGGTCAACTGTGACAGGTGAAGTTGGATGCAGGAAATAATTAAAAAGAAATATTTTCTTGTTTGAAATATCTTGAAATAAACTTGATTGTCAATACATTTTAGCATACGCAAGCAACTTTATTTGCGGTTAATATCACTGTATGTATAAAGTTGCCGTGAATAGAAAACTGTTTTACATTAATGGTCTGAAATTTTCATTTTTTTTCGATGAGGCATATTTTTCGTTATGCTAGATTAAAGAAAGTAACTTTAAAACACTGCGAAGTTTTTAATACAGAAGACAGTCGAACAGATGAGAACTTATGTTATCATTTTGTACCATTTCTGTCAAATTTAGGAAGTACAAAGGTTACATGATTGAGTTTTTTTTCTGTAAGTCAAGGCAACGCAGAGAACTGCTTGCAAAAGGACGAATAAAAAGTCGGCTGCCACTGAAAGAAACCATTAAAAACGACAGGAGAACTATCAGAATTCATCAGCCAGAGATGGATTGTGAGTTTTCAGAATTAAATCCTTAAGTAAAAAGCCAGGGTTTTTGCAGGGATCGTGTGACCAAAAGAGAATCATATACTATGGATTGTTTTTTTTTGGATAAATTATACATTATAAATTATACACAGTCTTTAAGATACAGATAAGTCTCATATGTATTATAGAATATAATGAAATAAATACATAACACGTATGAAGTTATTGCATAAATGTTATATAAAATCAACAAGAAAACTGTGATGTATCCATCAGTTGTAAAAACATAAAGTAAACAATTCCTGGAAATAATACCCCATTCCTACGACGAAAATTTGCTCATGTTTAAAAATTTACACCTAAGTAAATCTACATAGGTAAGTAAAAGTTAATTTGCTATGCGTTCAGACGAGAGTTATGTACAGTAAGTTAATCCTCACATATTGATAAAGATTAAGGAGATGAACAGATTCAGAATTTTGAAGTTTTATAGAAAAGGCTTTTTCCTTTCTGTTTGAGTATAAGACTAATCTTTAAGACCAACTTTTAAATCTTCCTCATTGATTTCTTGGTACAACTTAATTAGTGACTTGAGGGAGAAAGAATAGTATAAAAATTAAACTCGAAGAAGCAGAACTTAATAAAATTATCAACATGAGCTGCAAGATTGACATGGGAAATTTGTATTGCAAATTTATAATTAAATATTTCAATGATAGAAAAAAAGAACATTTATAAACTACAGTTACTCATATTTGCGATGGAAGAACTTTTATATATAAGCTTCAATTATAGCAAAATTACATTATTGTCGTCCTGTGCACTATTGATCTCTTATATAATGCTCTATATTCGATTGTACAAAAACATTTTTTCTGAAACAATTAAAACAATTTACTTTGGTTTTATTAATCACAGGGGTGTAAATCATATACAAATTATATTAATCATAATAGCTCCTTGATTTTAAGAGTTTTGCCTTCTATAGTCACCAAATCGGCGTGTGGCGCAGTGGTTTGTGCGTCTGCTATAGAGTCGCAAAATAACTTGATCCTTACGTCGCAGGTTCGAATCCCATTGTTGGGCGTGGAGTCCGATCCTTCGGATGAGACCGTATAAACGGAGATTCCGTTTTGCAGCAGGTGCTGGCAAAGAAAAGATAATTCCCTGCTCAATGGCCTTGAGTGCCTAGTAAGAATTAAGAATTCTCAAGAGGGAGTTAAACAATATGCAATTAATCAATAAATCTAGCAACCATGTTTACTGACTGATATTTTACACTCCATTGCATACACAACCAAAAAAAAACCACTTAAAATGAAAATTTTTTAAAATAAACGGAACAAAATACATACATAAGTAAATCTGTTGCGTGTTTATACGAAACAATTTACACACATGAACTAATAGTTTGCTACAAAGTGTATGCAGAAGTTAATCTACACCTAGTCCAGACCAGGCGTAAATTTACTCAACTGTGCAGAATCTGCAAATGAGTATATCAGTTCATACAACAAAAATTGGACATGTGAGTAAATTTACTCATTTGTAAAATATACTAAGGTATGCAAATCATGTCGTATGAATGGGGTATATTTCTTGATAATCAAACCACTTCTATTTGTTGATAAAAACATGCCTCTGAATCATGGATACTATAGTGGAGACGATTTACAGAAAGTTTCTAGTCAAAAGAAAATAACACAAAAACGAAACACTTTTAAACCTTTTCAATTCCAACAGTAAATATTGGCAGGAAAATATAAATAATAATCAAACACATGATTAACCTATCAGCAAAAATCTATTTTACTTCATAAATATAAAACACAAACCGTGTAACGTATTTATTTATGCTATTAGTAAAATTTAATGTCCTAAATATGGTATCTGTCTTTTTTATCACAGGAAATATTAAACATCTTTATATATAAAATGTAAAAACATATTTTTTTTAAGGATGTACTTCATGGAAGTAAGTATATTATGTATATCGTAATTTATAAAATAAATCAATTACAAACTTACATTCCGATAATATTAAATCTATATTTATTTAAGACATTGACGTTATTTATTAGTTTTTGGGTAAATGTGATGTGACTGGTAGGTGAATGATCTTGTTATCGATCTTATTGCTTATATCCTGTTCAATCGCCTTCCTAGTAGACGAACTATTGACCAAATAAGCAACCCCCACCACTCAGAAATCCGAAAAAATAAAAAAAAAAGTTTCAACATGAGGAAAGTTTTTGATAAACAGTTTCTAAAAACATGTGTCGAATTTAATGAATTGTTTATCAAACTTCAATCCAAATTTGTTTGGTGTATATTCATTCCTAAGGGAAACAGACGTTCATGGAAAAATTAAATTTTCTAAAAATTAAAGGAAATGCAGCTAAAATATTATTTATCCTCTTTCTATCTATCAAGAATCTTGAGTGGGTTTTTCATGAATATTTCAAATGCATTTAATTGGGTACTCAGTTGGGAAATATTTCCGCCATGAGCCTAAAAAACATCTTGTTTAATTATCATACAAATGAGTCTTAAACACATCTAGTTTAATTACCATACAAATCAGACCCGGTTTTGTTTGACTGTATCATTTATTTATGGAATACTACGTTTGAAAATGTCCGTTTTCTCTCATAAAGGATAAAATTAAAGTTATTGACAACTTTATTTCTTTTACATTGAGATTGTTTTTACCCAGAAGTTAAATCACTAAGTTATTCAGCATACCATAGTTAGATTTTATGGGGTTTTTTGTCAACATAAAGTCTTTCATATAGCATTGAATTTCTGGATTATAAACGTATTTGTCTTTTTCAAAGGTCTACCTCTTAAAAGAACAAGAAATTGTTCTTGTTAAAAAAAAAAAACATAATTTTGATTGAAAGCTTAAATAGAGGCAAGAGGACGCAGAAGTTGCGTGGTTTCCAAAGTTTTCTTAAACCTGCTGGAAATTCGTAAATTTTAAAATGGTTTTCACTTCTGATAAAAATTGATCACAAGCTTACATTTCTGTGACTTTTATGTATAAGATGCATCTTATAGGAGGGTTGTTTGGAAAGTTCGTGGACTAGCACCATAAAAATAAAATCGCTTAAGATAGGAGTATATCAATGAATTATCTAACGTTGAATTAGCATCATCTTTTTTTATTCGTATAATAGACTATACGTCACTAATCATATTTTTAAAAAAATTAATTGTTGATGTCTTATTGCAATGGTATGTTCAGGCAGAGCAGACACAAAGATTATGTTTTTTTCTTACATAAATGTAACTGAGAAAAAAAAAACAATTATATGAAATCCTGTCGTTTAAAATTGCCAATAATTCACTTATGCGATTATACAATATTACACCTTAAAAAATGCAACTTTAGCACCAATTTGTAAGTCTTTAGAGTTTCATAGTAAACTTAATTTGAAATATCCAAATGAGTCGACATGGGTGGTTTTCTTTTTCTAACATGCTATAAAGTTTCATTCCCATGGGAAAAAAAACTGGCATAGACCTGGGGAATATTTAAATATGTCATTGACCAAAAATACATTCAAAGTGCTTGTTTTGACGACATTTAAAGTCATAAACTTTTTTTACTAAGTGTATTTGTTAGTTTCTACATACATATTTAATTAGAATTCAATTCAAAAAACGGGGGTCAATATGCTTCTTTTGGCGCTATAGTACGTTTAATATGACATTTTTGAACTGAAATTTGTGTGTAATTACAAAATAAATCTTCGACGTTTTCCCTCAAATATTTTTATCCAATTAATGCATGAAACAAAATGAACACTAAGTCTGTTTAAAAAAGACACTTTAAAATCATTACTAAGAAAGAGTTTTAAATTGCTTCGCATATTCAATTATTTGACCTTTCTGCACTAACAGATGTGGTTTTTCTGGCATTGAAAATTTAATAAGCAAGAAAATAATGTTAAAGTCTCAAACTTTTTCTGAATTTAATCAAATAGGTTGAAGTTGTCTTGAATATTTAGAAAAAAACATTAAAAGCGGGGGTATATGATGTAAATTTTTAGATATTACTAAAAAAGTGTCAATTTTATGTAAAATTGACTCAATTTTTCCCGATATTTTCAGAATATATTTACTATATTTGTGACACTTTGTTGAAAGAATTCATTAGAAATAATTTAATAGATATTTCAGATCCAACATAACACATTTCACTGCAAAAAAAAAAAAAAAAAAACTTTGGGTCCAACCAGCAATGGAAAAATGGGAATCCAAAATTAAAAGCACTGTTATAGTTCAAAGGGGAAAACCTGATCAGTTTCGTCAAAAAAATCTTACGCCACAAAATATGTCCCTAGCATAAGTCTACTTGAATGGGATTTAATCGCTAACATTATGAAATATTTTGTTGATGAACACAGAGATTTTTTTTTTAACGGTTTACATATTTCTG